ACAGTTTTTATATAATTTATCATCTGAAAAGGAAAAAAAATATTAGATCGCTTCAGAAATTGTATAAAAATCTAAATAAAACACCTTGTCTGTCGCTTTCAATGAAATGTGCATGAAAGAAGGATTGCTGCCTAAATAAACACACACACATATATATATATATATGTGTGTGTGTGTGTGTGTGTGTGTGTGTGTGTGTGTAACTCCAAAAATGCATTTTAAAAATGAACAATCTCTCTTGAAGTTTTCTTTTTAGTTTTAATTCCAATCTAATAGATGAGATTTAATATTTCCAACAAGCAATTTACTTAACTGTATTTCAAAATTAATTTAAACTGATTGGAATCATTTATTGTGACTGTGAATAAAATCGTTCATACTGAGAAATCTGTGAACACAACGTAATTCTCTTCATTAAAAATAAAAAAAAATCTTTAAAAAATTAAATATGCATTTCTGAAATGTTATTTGAGAAATCTGAAAAATTAATTAATTTAAATTAAAACAATTACTTTTAGCTTACAATAACGCAGCAAAGTATTTTTAACAGGGAGGTGGGTGTTTTTTCCAAGCATCAGGCTGTGGATAAATGTAACAAACATAGACAGCCTGATCGAAAACATCGAAGAAAGTTTGTTAAAGAAATGCTAGAAAATTACCAATAAACTTACTATACTTACTGCTTTTATTTTTTGATAATGTCATGTATGGAAGACCATATTTGCAAATATGGTGTTAAACGAAAATACTCCTAGCCCAAATTTCTTCATCTCCTACACTAAATTTGTTACAAGTGATGTTTTCAACAGGCAAATTTAATGTTTAATAAATCTGATTAGGCTTTTGTAGCGTTTTTTTAATCTGTATCAGACCAAGGAAGGCAATAAAATCACTAAGACGCAAGGGGGGTTAAGGATGGAGAAGAATTAGGAAGAGAAACATTAATAATGAGCGGGAAGAGGAAAGCGTAATCGGGGGAGAATATATAGCGATTGACATTGCATTTAAATTTTTGAAGATTAAAGTTGACGGAGTTCCACAAGCGAGAAGTACGAGAAAAGAAACTGTTATCATAGAACATACAATTACATCTAGCCAGCGCAACTATAAATTGATGAGATCTCGACGCCAGTCTAGTACTGCGCTTAAATTCATAAAGTCTAGTTACCATAGCGAAGAGCGATATTTATTTATACAAGGATACAAAATATGGAACGTGGCCAAAAAGGGGAAACGGTGAAAAGGACAGTCTTCATCTGTCTTAACGTTAAACTTAGCTCGCCACAAACACTGACCAAAACATACAAGAATATTCCTTTCACCAAAACAACTTAACATTCTTACTTCATCAATCATAATACCTCAGAATCTCCATGGAGTCCTAACTATTCCCCATGTGTACAATTCATTGTCTGGGTGGGGGCCGTTAATAAAACAACAATTTACCATAGCGAAGAGCGATATTTATTCCGCTTATATACAGAAAATGTGGCACAAGGCCAAAATGGAGAATGAGGAAAAGGACGATCATCTGTCTTAACGTTAAACTTAGCTAGCCACAAACACTGACCCAAACATACAGCAATATTACTTACACCCCAACAGCGCATTCTTACTTACTTTTCTTACCACATTCACCATAATACCGCAATGTCTCTATGAAAGTCTTAACTAGTCCTCATACATACAATTCATTGTCTATGTTGAATAAAATAACAAATTTAAAAATCTGACTCAAATGAATACTTACAAAAAAAGAAGACTATTTACAAGAAACCAAAAAAATAATGTTAGTAATCCCCCCCACACACACACACACACATACACACACAATCACTAAATGTGGCAGAAACATCAGCTAACTGGACGAAATAAATGCAGGACTTTAATAATATAAAACATTTATTCATCCCAAGCATTCACTCAAACACACACTCATTCAGACACAACAAAAAAATGCGAAAGCGCACACCTAAAACGAAAGGCGCCCCACATCCACCAGAGAACTGACATCACTGACATCACTGACCCCCTAACGAGGAAGGAGATGAGAAATTTAACCAAAGAAAAATGGGGACAGAAATAAAAGAGCAAACAATGAGCAAACATCCTCTAAGTTAACTGGAATCAAGAGACTAAAAACACAAAAACAACCCTAAACTAGCCTAATTTCAGGCGGGGTTGCCTAAGTTCACCATAGCGAAAAGCGATATTTATTTGTAAAATTTAAAAAATGGGGCGCAAGTCCAAAATGGAGAATGGGGAAAATGGCGGTCTTCTTCTGTCTTAAATTTAAACTCAGCTAGCCACAAACACTGACCCAAACATGACACAATATTCCTAACACCAAAACAACGCATTCTTACTTACCTTTTTACTACACTCACCATAATACCTCATGTCTCTATGAAAGTCCTAACTAGTCCCCATATTGACAATTCATTGTCTGGTGGTGGGGGATAAAACAACAATTTAAAAAACTACACCCAATGGGTATTTACAATATAAAACAGAACTATTTACAAGAAAATAACTAACAAGATAATGTTAGTAATATCCCCCACCTCACCCCATCACCACCACAATCCTTAAATGTGACAGAAACATCAATTAACTTGACGGAATCAATGCGGGACTATAATAATATAAATCATTCATTTATCCCAAGCACTGACACTGAGACGCACTCATTCAGGCACTACATCAGATACAAAAACACATACGCGAAACGAAAGGCGCCTCGCATCCACCAGAGAATTGACATCACTGACCCCGTAACGAGGGAGGGGATGGGGAATTAAACTAAAGAAAAATAGGGACAGAAAAAAAAGGGGCCAATGAGCATACACACCCTAGCTAAGTTAACTGGAAAAAGGAAACTAAAGACAGAAAAACAAACCTAAACTATCCTAATTTCGGGATGGGTTGCCTAAGTTCACCATAGCGAAGAGCCCATTCGAACAATGACCATGAAAGTGTTTATAGAAAAGACACAGTGAGGCAAACCTTACGGCGGTGGCAAAATGACCGAAACCGACCCACCAGATTAAGAACAATAATATTTAAAAAAAAAAAAAAAAATGGCGATTCGACATTACTTTCCGAACAAACTCATTATTTTCCATGCTAAAAATGGAAAGACGTTAAGTAATTACACATACATGCACACACGTACAAACATATACAGATATAGATATAGATAGATAACTTACATTGCGACGTCCCAGTAATTTATTGTCCTTCGTGTTCTGTTAACGATCTTTTATCAAATATATATATATATATATATATATATATATATATATATATATATATATATATATATATATGTGTGTTTGTGTGTGTGTGTACTGAAAAAGTTCAGATAACAAAATATCAAGAAGTTATTCCCCAAATAAATTCTACACTTTGGGGGAGATTATGGGATGTGCATTGAGCCCTAAAACTTTTAGACCATCATCGTGTATGTATATATATGTGTATGTGTGTGTGCGTATGTTTGTATATATATATACTGCGTGCCAAATTATTATCGAGATATATATTGTGTGAAAATTTGTGTGAATTGATTGGACGGTTTTTGAAATATTATAAAAAAAGTTATCTCAATAATTTGGTACGCATTATATATATATATATATATATATATATATATATATATATATATATATATATATATATATATATATATATATATATATATATATATATATATATGGTCGTACTCGCCTGGAAAACCTTGGGTATGTTGGCTTGTAGAAACAAACCAGAACCCAAGGAAAAATGAGAATAAAAAAGAAAGAACTAAGAACATGAAATTGAGGCGAAAACAATCGTCCAGGTTCAAACTCAGAGTCGAAATAAAAAATACCTCCAATACTAGTAAAATCAACTACGTAAAAGTGCTCAATACACGAAGTAGTGCAAACCTAAATGCATTTAAGGTATTCGTATCTTTGGAGCTACCTATATATATATATATATATATATATATATATATATATATATATATATATATATATATATATATATATATATATATATATATATATATATATATATATATATATATATATATATATTTAATGGCGACGACAAACTCAACAAACTATTTTTTCCATGCTAAAAATGGAAAGACATTAAGTAAATAACCTCCCTTGATGGGTGATAAATATGGCGGCGCCGAAGCGAGAGAAAAATCGTTTCACAAATACTGACCGGCACGATTAATGTCAGATCAGCTACAAGTCATGAACCGACCAGAAAGGTTTTAAATTATTGAAAGCATCGATTAACAAAGGGTTTTTAGAAAGATAAGTAAATATTTATTTTGCGCAACTTTAAAACGTACGCACAGATGGTCATGCAGTTTGTAAAATTCCCCCTAGACAACACCTGCATCGCTAAAGAATATCCATGAGAGAGAAGCCCATGCCATTTTGTGGGACAGTCCTCTTCTTAAAACATTTGCTTGGATCAACCAGTGAGAAAAGCAGCGTCCCTTTTGATTCACGACCGGGTGGAAAATTATATTAGCTATAATGTGTATTAAACAAACAATATGGAGTCTGTGACAGAACTTTCTAGTATATCAGTTTCGGTGGTGAGTAATTATTTAGGTTAGTATAGTTTTGTTCTTTCTTCTATTTCGTTTTTTCTCTTTTTTTTTTTTGTTTTTTTGGGGTTTTTTGCCCCAAACTGACAAAGCTAACATTGAAAATGGAGTTAGAATATAAACAAGTTAAGCAAAAATAGTTTAAATAATAGAAACAACGTATTTATTTTTAATATAAAAAAACAATTATATTCGAGAATTCTAAGCAGCCCGCGTAATATGTGAATTCCTATTACATTTTACCGCTTTGTGAGTTCCACACATTGTGAGCCAATGTTGTTACAACAAGCAAAAGAATGCTTCGAAGAAGACCGTGGAGAATAAGTGTTACTAGAATTTTTTTTTTTTCCCCATTTTTATCAACATAGCTTTTGTCTAGAAATTTGAACACGCCGCTAATTGTCCGTTCATCGAAGTTAAGCAACGTCGAGCCTGGTCAGTACTTAGATGGGTGATCGCTTGGGAATACCAGGTTCTGTAAGACTAGCAGGATTATTTACAAGAATAATTTCATATTTAAAACATTCTAAAAAAGTACAATTATAATTTAATGCAATATTTATCATTTACCAATTTATTAAGAAAGAAATGTGAAAACGCTTTTTTATTCGTAAATTTACAAACATTTGCTAAAATTATCAAAATACAGTCAACGACGAAATTACTCTTACATACATCATTTTTTAATATTTTTATTAATTTCTCAGAATCTAATGCCCGGATGATGCCTGGTTTTATATATGTTAATAAGCACAAAAAAAAAGGGAATACAAAATTCAATTTTCAAAACAGTAGGTTAAATACAACAAATTTGACAGGCGAATTATGCAAAATAAGAAAAGACAAAATTATTCGTACAATATGAAAAATAGGAAAAATTGAAGAATTTTCACAATATTAATAGTTAACTGCATAGCCTCGCATCTTTTTATAACTTGCTACAATCGTTTTCTAAAGTTTTTGATGAGATTTGCAATTAGCCGATGTTTTGTCAACCATTCCAATGAAACATATAATAGTGTAAATAAACAACATAATAACTAAATAGGGTTTATTATTTTTTGAAATTCTCAAGAATAAAGAAAATGTATAAATTCACTTTCGGCATATGCTTAGGTTTTATTCCAATTCTAATCATCGCTTTTTAAAACAATAAACATTGCCAAAGAAGAGCGTTGTCATTGGGAAAAGCGTACTTTGATATTACGTCTTATTGTGGGAAAGTTCACCTTCACTTGGAAAAAGCATGGAACGCTCTCTTCAACACTCTCCCAACTATGGGCTAAATAGCAGGGTTGACTGGACTCTATAGCCTTGGATGTCAACCAGTCTAAGAGAAGGAAAACTCAGAATTTTAAAATCAACGGGTAGGCAGTTCCCTATCTTGCCCACAAAGGCAACAAGAAACTACGCCACTAGCTGCAAGAAGCTGGTATGAACATCACCCAAACCCGGCTACAGAGATAGAACCTGCACTAATTTTATGGGACTTTACAATACACAGAGACAGAACAAATTAAGCTAATTCCCCAGACGTAGTGATCAAAGACCACAAAAACAGAATCTGCTTTCTTATTGATATGGCAGTCCCTACAGATTGTAATGTATCTTTAAAGATCTTCAGAAAACTATCAAAATACAAGGAACTTGAAGTGGAAATCTCAAAAATATGGCACATGAAGACATCAATAATTTCAGTTGTAGTTGGAGCCCCTGGATTGATTTGAAAAGGTTCCGATAAACTCGTGGAAGGGATTCCTGGAAGCCAATGCCTTAAAGAAATACAAAAAAGTATACTCATAGCCTCAACTCATACATTACGAAGAGCTTAATCTATGTAAAATACGGGCGATATTAGGTTTCTGGGTTTTTTTTTTTTTTTAACAAAAACGATCAGTGGAAAATGTCATGAAGCCATTTCTGACCTTAGGTCTCTGATTGGGACCCGGAAAGAAATGTGTGTACAACAGAAAACAAAGGAAATAATAATAATAATAATAATAATAATAATAATAATAATAATGGCACATAAAGGCATCAATAATTCCAGTTGTAGTTGGAGCACTCGTATTGATTGGAAATAGGTTTCGATAGACTCATTAAATGGGTTCCTGGCAGCCCATGCCAAAAAAAATTGTGCTCACAACTACAGCTCAGGCATTACGAAGAGCTTTATCTATGCAAAATGTGCGTGATCTTAAGTTATTTACTTTTAAAAAAATGATCAATGAAAAACGCCATTTCTGATCTTAGGTCTCTGGTTGGGACCGAGAAAGAAATGTGTATACAACATAAATCAAAGGAAATAATAATAATAATAATAATAATAATAATAATAATAATAATAATAATAATAAAATCCTTGCAAAAACATTATCAACGCTTGTAAATAAAATCCTTGCAAAAACAATACCAACGCTTGTAAGTAATTCCAATAAAATCCCGGAATGGATTACTGAAAGTATTATATGCCTTATGCCAAAAACAAGTGAAGCAGACGAGCCGAAAAATTATAGACCAATAACATGTCTCTCCACAACGTATAAGTTGATCACGTCTGTCCTGACGAACTGTACTTATTCCTTCATTGACATAGCACTACAATCTGAAAGAAACACCTCCATAAAATTATCGAGAAATTGTCCAAATACAAGGACTTGGAGATCGGTATTAACAGGATGTGGGGAATGAAGACTGCGACTGTATCAATAGTAATCGGAGCTCTGGGCTTCGTGAGAAAAGGAATGTACAATTTTACTAACAGTGTCCCAGGTAACATCAACATACAAATTGTCCAGAATATCGCCCGACGAGGAACATCCCATTAAGAAAAGAGCTATCAATTAAATGACAATTCACCTATAGGGCCTAAGGACCATAATTTGGACCTGGCTCTACAGGATACAAAGCCTGAAACAGAATATACACAAATAATAATAATAATAATAATAATAAAGTCGTAGTGTTTAGATTTACGTATAAAATGAACTTTGGAAAAAAGTTCTGTAAATAAAGAAATTTTTTCAATGATACAAGAGTAAATTAAAGAGTAAAAGCAATTTGCAATAATAATAATAATAATAATAATAATAATAATGAAAATAATGATAGCATTTGAGAGAAACACCTCCATGAAAATTATCGAGAAATTGTCGAAATACAAGGACCTGGAGATCGAGATTAACAGGATGTGGGGAATGAAGACTGAGACTGTACCAATAGTAATCGGAGCACTGGGCCTCGAGAGAAAAGGAATGGACAATTTTACTAACAGTGTCCCGGGCAACATCAGCATACAAGTTGCCCAGAAGATTGCCCGACTAGGAACATCCCATATACTAAGAAAAGTGCTATCAATTAAATAATTCTAATACCTGGATATTTCGTAAAAACACTGCAAAGTGAGTCGAGCTTAGAACTTTCCAATCTGACAACTATTTGAATATATCCCTGAGGAGTGGATGGAGTAATTACTGGTGAGTCCGCCTAGAAAAGTCTGGATTCGGGATGCTCTAGGTAATACCAATCCTTTCAGTGATAAACTTTATATTTGTATCATATATATATATATATATATATATATATAATTATTTATTCGAAAATTATAACATAAACATGTCTTATCAAGTGATGGTGTTGAATGCATTCAACACCATCATAAATAAGACACCAGAAAATGTTGAAACAAAATAGCTATTTTGTAGCGATTTTATAACATATTTATATTATAATTTTTAATAAATAATTCTATTTGCTTCTACTCTGTATTGAGCACTCTTTTAAGAATAGTATTTGTTGGTTATTTGAATTATATATATATATATATATATATATATATATATATATATATATATAGAGAGAGAGAGAGAGAGAGAGATAGATAGATAGGTATCACAAATGCCTCAAAATAAAAGGATTTAAAACAAGACCTATCAAAGGGTGTATGAACCCTCTTAAAGGGTGAAAGATCATAGTAGACTGGGTTCTATAGCTATGGATACAGCCAGTATGGTGATAACACGGCATCGTTAGTTGGAGAATTTCCTAGACTGAAGTCAACGGCGAAACCGAATGATTCTCACAACGGACATCTGTGTGTGAGCAAGGCAAGCCTTCAAGCTGGAAGACATCGATTGTGGTCTGGGCTGCAGAAGGACGGGCTCCGCCAGGTCTATTTGCCCATGACATGCTAAGCATGGACGAATAACTCTCTGATTTTCAACCGAGACATACGAAGAGAACTGATCACATTCTCAGCTGTGCAGCGTCCCTTTGACCAAAGCCTGTCATTGGACTGATAAACTAAAATCTTTTTTTTTACGTTAAATTTTTAAAAAAATTGTTCGATTTTCGCTGTGTTTGTTTCACATGATCAGGGGCTATGACGTTTGGGCTTCCCATGACTTCTTGCTTCGTGCCTCCGTTTGCTTTGTGTACGGTATTATTTGCGTTATCTATAGCGATACTAATGATCTCGAGGACATTATTCACGGGGATTGTTGAGAATCTTTCTAACATTTAACAATAACGACAGAAAAAAATAAAACTATGTGGGTTTTGTAACGGACATGTACAAATCATGCGGAACGGATGTGAAGAAACAAAGCCTAAAAGAGTTTATGGCTGGGGTTCGAGTCTAGGCTGGAGGTTAAGCTTTTTGAGATTGATGGAATTTTATTCTATAGTAAAGTGTGTGCATAGTTAAATAGCAATAAAGTTTTGGGTGGAAATTTACTTATTGAGAAAAAAAGAAAATTAAAGAAAGAAAGAAAAAGAAAGAAAGAAAGAAAGAAAGAAAGAAAGAAAGAAAGAAGCGAGGGTGTAAGAAAGAAAGGGGTGAAGATGAAAGAAAAAGATGATGGTAAGAAAGAAAGAAAGAAAGTGGTGAGGGTGAAAGAAAGAAAGAAAGAAAGAAAGAAAGAAAGAAAGAAAGAAAGAAAGTGGTGAGGGTGAAAGAAAGAAAGAAAGAAAGAAAGAAAGAAAGAAAGAAAGAAAGAAAGAAAGTGGTGAGGGTGAAAGTGAAACAAGAAAGAAGAAAGAGAGGTGAGGGTAAAAGAAAGAAAGAGAGGTAAGAAAGAAAGAAAGAAAGAAAGAAAGAGAAAAACGCCCAAATAATCTTCCAGCTAAACTCCGATAAAATTTCGGAAATTTGCAAAAGTCTCGTTAGTAAATTTAATTATACAACTAAATTCATGTTTAATTTTTTAGTAATAATGTTCACCCAGTACAAGGTCCAAGAGCCATTCAAGGTAGAGGGTTACTGTGTGGTGTTATATGATCGTAAGAAAAGACAAGAAATGAAGTACATGGAGTTATGTAGGAAAGATAACTTGATTGTAATGATTAGGAAAACATCCTACTGAGACGCTGTCCGACAAAGTAGCAGTTTTTGGGAAGAAGTTGTCCGAGTGGATCTTACTCCTTACTAATGGTATACGAAGGAAATGGGGATGATTCATCTTTGTGTATGCGCCATGGCAG